ATAATCGATCCTAAAATGTAACTATAAATTTGTACTATATCAAAGATTAAGCTAATAAAAAACCAACTGGCATTGTCACCAAAGTTCAAAAAAAAAAAAAAAAAAAAAAAATATTAAAAAAAATATATATAAATATATTATAATTTATGATAATTATAATTTATATATTTTAAAGTACTTTTTTATAAAACTTGTATAAATCTTTGTTTTTATGAAACATGAGCAAGTTTATTAAATAAATTTGAAATATCTATGTTGTATTTTAATAATGTATAGTTATTTAATAGATAGTACAATTATATCATGATCTGTGTGATTACGATATTATTGTTACACCTACAAATAATGTGAAGTATCTGGTGAAGAATTTGATCATAAGATGGCTGGGCCCCGAAGGGGCCCAGACATCTCATAATCAAATTCTCTGCCAGATATGTAAGTTATTGATGCAGAGCATTCAATAATGGTATTATTCGATACCCTATAATGATCAGGTTTACTCATTATGAAAATTAAACTTTAATTAATGATGTAAATTAAATTTTACATATGTATTTATAGATTTTTTTTTTTTATGCTTGAATGTTTCTTTCTTTTGCTCTTGAGTTTCATTTGCTTATACTAAAAAAAAATAACAAACATTAATAAAACCAAATATCACAAGCTAACAAGTAATGAAATTAATAAAATTATTAATGGTACGATTTCTGCAAATATACAAAATGCAATAGCAAAGTGAATCAGAATTTTAGAAGCCTGGTGATCTGATGTTGGTTATGATTATGAAGTTGAATTTATTACAGATAAGGACCAGTTAGAGCATAAGATAACAGAATTTATCCTTGGAATTCATACAATTCATATACAACAAGAATATTTGCTATCATTATTAATGTATTATATTAGGTTGTTGAGTATATATAGTTTAAAGCACTCTCATAGAACTATGAAGTTTAATTTAGGAAATTGGCAAGAATTTGCATGACTCTATGATGCATTAAATAGAAAATTAAAACAATTAAAAAAAAAAGATATTGTTTTACAACATCATGCCCATTTGACAGATGATGAATTAAAAAAGATTTTTTAATATAAGAAGGTTTTTATTAATATACCACAAGGGCTTCTTTATAGAATTTTTATATGGTGCTGTCTTTTATTTCAACCTTGTGGTGAACATTATAAAATTTCAATTAAGCAGTTTACTTTTACTTCTAATAGAGGCATTCATTTCATAAAGAATTATCGAAAAAATGATCAAGAAGGCATTGATGGAAATTCTGATGCTTTAATTATTCTTGTACTATCTAATATGGATGGTTATCAAGAACCTATGCATGATTTTAAATTTTATTTTTCTAAAAGACTATTGAATTCAAGTTGTGACTTTTTTTATTTACATATTAATAAAGAAACAAAAGATAAAAGTTACATTATATTTTATTACATTTTTAATATTTTATTTTTTTTATAATTTTTTTTTTTACTATACAGATCTCACACAAGATCCTTGGTTTTACAATATTCAATTAGGCAAAAATGCATGTAGATCTTTAATGAAAGACATTTGCATTGCAGTTAGAATTGATATTAATGGTCATAATATTGTTAATCATTCTGGATGTTCAACACCAATTACATTTTTATTTCAGAAAAAAGTACCAACAGCTACAACAATGTCCTTAACTGGACACAGAAGTGAATTATTGTATCACATTTATGCATAGCCATCAAATCAACAAAGAGAAGATGCATTATCATTACTGATTAATAATATTGGATTAGTAACTTTAAATAATTCAGAGATGAAGTTTTTTTATTTATTTAAAAAAAATTCATTTATATTTGTCTCAAGTTTTTTTAATAGAAACCAAATAACTTGTATGAACAAGATTCAAATGAACATAATAAAACCTTAACCAATTTACAAGAACAAGTTCCAAATAAATATAATAAAACCTTAACCAATTTTCAAGAACAAGCAATGGCTAGCAATAATTACAAGAAGGTTTCAAGAAAATAAACAAATTTACTAGTATCATCTTGGTCTTCAGTCTTTGCTCTATTTCATCATCTTTAAAAGATTCGTCAAAAATAAACTTCCTATCACATTCAAGACAATCATATTCAGAACCATCACATCCAGAACTAATGCATTCAGGACTGTCTTGTTCAGGACCATCAGAACTATCACATTCAGAAAAATTAGAACCATCGCATTTAGGAACATCAGAACCATCGTATTTAGAACTAACACATATAGATAAATTGCTTTCAGGACTAGAGATTTTGAAAAAAACCAATGACCAAGTTTGTGACCAAGTTTGTAATTAAGTGCTAGGGTTAAAAAATAGTAATACAGTTATTAAAAATTACTATAATATTAATGTGAAGTATGTAAAGATTATTAAAAAACATAAAAAGCATTAATTTATATAATTACAATGTAATAACGTAAAAAATAAATAAATAAATAAATTGGTTAATTTGCGTATAAAATTTTTTAATGATGTTTTAAAGTCAGTCACAGTGACTATTTTATGTACAATATATTATCAAATAACTAGAGTTATTTGATAGTCCCGATCATAGTAGGGTATTAAATAACTAATATTATCTGATACCCTACTATGATCAGAACTATCAAATAACTCCAGTTATTTGATAATATATTGTATATTAAATAGTCACTGTGACTGACTTTAAAACATTATTAAAAAATTTTATATGCAAATCAACCAATTTATTTATTTATTTATTTTTTATATTATTATTATTATTATTTTTTTTATTGTTAAAGGTCATACTTGTAGCAAAACTTTATTGACTTTATATTAGGTTAGCTATTACAACTATTTTTACAGAGATGTGAGTACAGCTAGTCACACATGCAACTTTTGGTTGCCTATTTAAGTAGTCTGCCCTAAGGATCTACACTAGATGCTGTACCTATAACCTACTAGGAAATTATTCATTTAAACCCTCTGATCATTTGCTCTGTCATATTGGAATCTCCAAACTTACCCCCTGTATATATCTAACAGGTATACTGTCTGAGTAGTATAGTTACCTACCCTTTTTGTACTGGTTTTCAGGCTGTTACATATTTCAGAATATGTTACCTGGCAGTAAGATGCAGAGGGCCCCCGTTGTTAACTATCTACCTACTTTTAGAATGCTAACATAGGCTATTCTTACAGAGTTCATCCAGACCCTAGTACTGACTTCATAGCATATCCCTAGTACTTTTAGTATACCCCTGCTTTGAACCCAGACTCCCAATTCAGATAGCCTGGAAGGACTGTGACCTGTTCTTGGTATATTGAGTCTGGCCTAATATCCTTTTTCTCTGATTTGAAATCCAGTGGCCTGGTTGGTAATACCCCTCATCTGAGATTCTTGTCTGCTCAAATCCTTCACATTGGTATCCAATTCCTAGGTCTAGCCTTTACAGTAGTACTATTGAAGATCTGTGTTATCTCTCTGCTCAGAATTTACAAGTAGGTTCTGGCTTCTCAGTTCTACAAATTTACATGGCCTAAGGACTTATTTTAGATTTGTACTGCCCAGTACCGGTTTGCATTCCTCTGTATAACAGGTTACACAGATGCCCCAAACCTGCCAGTCATGCTGATGCGACCATAGTTACAGATATCCTATCTCAACTGATCGACAGAATGCTATTACCATAATACTGTCTATGTATTATATAAGTAATTATCCAAATTTTACTGTCAGTAGATTTTGAACTCACAACCTATCACTTGGGGGCATGACAACTTATCCACTTTACTAAGTTACCACACACTATTTTTTACATTATTACATTATAATTAAATAAATTAATGCTTTTTATGTTTTTTAATAATCTTTATATACTTCGCATTAATATTATAGTAATTTTTAATAACTGTATTACTATTTTTCAACCCTGGCACTTGGTCACAAACTTGGTCATTTGTTCTTTTCAAAATCTCTGGTCCTAAAAGCAATTTATCTATATGTGTTAGTCCTAAATATGATGGCCTTGATGTTCCTGAATGTGATAATTCTGATATTTCTAAATACGATGGTCCTGATGGTCCTGAACAAGATGGTTCCAAATACATTAGTTCTGGATATGGTGGTTCCAAATATGATTGTCTTGAATGTGATTGGAAGTTTATTTTTGATGAATCTTTTAAAGGTAACCGAAATAAAGCAAAGACTAAAGACTAAGATAATACTAGTAAATTTGTTTGTTTTCTTAGAACTTTTTGTAATTATTGCTAGCCATTGCTTGTTCTTGAAAATTGGTTAAGGTTTCATTATATTTATTTGGAACTTGTTCTTGAAATTGGTTGAGGTTTTATTAAGTTCATTTGAATCTTGTTCATACAAGTTATTTGGTTTCTAATAAAAAAACTTGAGAAAATATAAATGAATTTTTTTTAAATAAATAAAAAAACTTTATCTCTGAATTATTTAAAGGTACTAATCCAACATTATTAATCAGTAATGATAATGCATTTTCTCTTTGTTGATCTGATGGCTGTGCATAAATGCAATACGATGATTCACTTCTGTGTCCAGTTAAGAACATTGTTATAGCTATTGATACTCTTTTCTGAAATAAAAATGTAATTGGTGTTGAATGTCCAGAATAATTGACAATATCACAATCATTAATATCAATTCCAACTGCAATGCAAATGTCTTTCATTAAAGATCTACATATATTTTCATCTAATTAAATATTGTAAAACCAAGGATCTTGTGTGAGATCTATATAGTAAAAAAAAAAATTATAAAAAAAATAAAATATTAAAAATATAATAAAATATAATGTAACTTTTACCTTTTGCTTCTTTATTAATATGTAAATAAAAAAATTCACAACTTGAATTCAATGGTCTTTTAGAAAAATAAAATTTAAAATCATGCATAGGTCCTTAATAACCATCTATATCAGGTAGTACAGGAATAATTAAAGCATTGGAATTTTCATCAATGCCTCCTTGATCATTTTTTTGATAATTCTTTGTGAAATGAATGCTTCCATTAGAAGTAAAAGTAAACTGCTTAATTGAAATTTTATAATGTTCACCATCATAAGGTTAAAATAAAAGACAGCACTATATAAAAATTCTATAAAGAAACCCTTGTGATGTATTAATAGAAACCTTCTCATGTTAAAAAATCTTTTTTAATTCATCATCTGTCAAATGGTCATAATGTCATAAAATGATACCTTTTTTTTTAATTGTTTTAATTTTCCATTTAATGCATCATAGAGTCATGCAAATTCTTGCCGATTTCCTAAATTAAACTTTATAGTTCCACGAGAGTGCTTTAAAATATATATATTTAACAACCTAATACAATTCATTAATGATGATGGTGAATATTCTTGTTATATACGAATTGTACGAATCCCAAGAATAAATTCTGTCATCTCATGCTCTAACTGGTCCTTATCTGTAATAGATTCAACTCTATAATCATAACCAATATCAGATTGTCAGGCTTCTAAAATTCGGACCCACTTTGCTGTTGCATTTCATGTATTTGCAAAGATCGTACTATTAATAATTTCATTAATTTCATCACTTGTTGGCTTGTGTTATTTGGTTTTATTAATGTTTGTCATTTTTTTTTAATATAAGCAAATGAAACTCAAGAGTAAAAGAAAAAAACATTCAAGTATAAAAAAAAATCTATATATACATATGTAAAATTTAATTTATGTCATTAATTAAAGTTTAATTTTCATAATGAGTGAACCTGATCATCATAGGATATCAGATAATACTGTTATTGAATGCTCTGCACCAATAACTGACGTATCTGGCAGAAAATTTAATCATGAGATGTCTGGGCCTCTTTGGGGCCCAGCCATCTTACGATCAAATTCTCCGCCAGATACTTTACATTATTTGTAGATGTAATAATAATATTGTAACTACACAGATCATGATATAATTGTACCACCTATCAAATAACTACAGTTATTAGATGATATGCATTTAATAACTATACATTATTTTTTTTAATTATACAATTTTTATATAACAAGTTTTTTATACAAAATATATATAAAAATAAGTAATTATAAAAATATTTAATTACAAATTTTGAATATTTAGATAAAAAAATCAAAACCAATAATTCAATAAAGGTAATATGCATTAGATTATTAGTTTGTATAATTTTTCATTTAAATCTTTATAAATAAATTTTTTAAAAATTCAAACCAAATCTATATATATATTAATTAATAAAATATAAACTAACTATATACTTTTTTGTTATATATTTCTTAAAATAAAAATAAAAATACATATATATAAAACTATTATAATAATATAAGTATCAAGCTTTAAAAACTATATAATGTTTTTTTTTTTTTTTTTTTATAATATCAAGTAGGAAAAATTAATAATACATGAGCATGTCAATCAGACATAATTGTATAACTAAATATTATTCCTAAACTATACTATTGTTGCTATATA